AGATGAACTGTACGCCACTCGCTGTGATTATGACATTCAAACACTAAAGGTAAAGCATGATCACCAGACACAAAAATACTCATTCATCTGAGTCTGAATCTGCAATCACCGCCTATTCATGCTGAGCACTTTCCAAATATAGCGTATAAAAGGAAACCCTCGGATCTGAGGGTGACAAACTTACATGATGCAGCCCAGAGCCCACACGTCAGACTCCCAGCCATGGCCCTGTTTGTTCAGCACTTCCGGGGACAGGTAATTGGGTGTACCGCAGATCGTTTTGCGTCTGTTGCTGACTGGCTCCAGCTTGGCAGCCAGCCCAAAGTCACCCACTTTCAGCTCCATTGAGTCACTCACAAACAGGTTGCCTTTGAATGATGAAAAAGAAGAATTTTAACTATTTATGCACTGATGGAATGTTAATATGCATCCTGTGTGGACAGCATGCCAATGCATACATACCGAGTTTCAAGTCACGATGCAGGATTTCCAAGTCGTGCAGGTATTTTAAAGCAGAAACTGTTTGTTTCAGGTAATACCTCACTTCTGGTTCTGTTAGGACTTTACGTGCCTTCAGTATATGAGCCAGTGACTAAAAAAAAGATTAACAGGAGTCAATTAGGGTGCATTTGCATGACACATTACTATAAAATTGTTCACTTTAAAAATGCATACCCTTCTTCCACAGTACTCCAACAGAATATAGATGTTGTCTTTGTCTTCAAAGTGATGGTAGAAATGCACTATGTGTTTGTGGCTGAGAGTTCTGTGCAGCTCGATTTCTCGATTAATCTGGAACAAAAGGTACAGAGAATTAATGAGACATCTTATTTATCAAATTCTATTGCAATATAAACAAACTCTATAATTATAATTATTATTTTATAACTATATAACATTTTTGTACATATGCAGTGTTTATCCTACCTTCTCTCTCTGGTGGGGTTTGGACACACGTGTGTGTGGAATGATTTTGGCTGCATAGATTTTACTTGAGGACAGGTCAGTCATTTCATAGCACTTTGCAAAGCCTCCCTATGGCAAACAGAGAGAAGATAATGTTAATCAAGATGCACAAAATGATAGACAGACAGACAGACAGACAGACAGACAGACAGACAGACAGACAGACAGATAGATAGATAGATAGATAGATAGATAGATAGATAGATAGATAGATAGATAGATAGATAGATAGATATAGAGATAGATAGATAGATAGATAGATAGATAGATAGATAGATAGATAGATAGATAGATATAGATAGATAGATAGATAGATAGATAGATAGATAGATAGATAGATAGATAGATAGATAGATAGATAGATAGATAGATAGATAGAGATGAGAAATGCATTTTATAAAAGCAACACAAATAACATAACAATAGTAAAAAGTAATAAAGTATTTACATAAAATAAATACTTTCTGTACAAATAAGGAATATAGTATTTCAAATAATATCTGCATCAACTTTGAGGTCATTACCTTTCCCAGAACTTTTCCCCGGCAGTAACATTTCCCAGTGTTGGGGTCAGTGATGATTCTGGAATACTCTGTCCGACTGTTCTCCTCGGATTTTTTCCATCCTTGCTCACTTATTTTACTGAGCTCACACATCTTTTCGCTGTGTGTGGTTATAGTTGGGTAGGAGGTATTCCTTAGTGTCTCCATGGCTGTGTGTTACTGTGCTTTCTGTCACAGTGCTGCCGGAGCAGAGTGTCTCCTGGCTTTTATAGCTCTGACGAACTGCGTCACGAAAGGGGAAGACCCTATATGGCGTACAGCTCTGGCGTACAGCGCTGTCATCTGTGTGAACTACCTCACCACCGTATTCATTATTTAACATCCCAGACACTCCTATAGACACCTACTAGACAACGATTACAGCGAAAACCAGGTCTGGATGAGCAATTGTTCCAGACGTCCACACTTTAATCTCTCAGTGCGCAGTGATGATAGATACTCCAGTCGAAATCTCAGGTCTAAATACATATACGGTCTTGTTAAACGAAAGACTTCATATAAAGTATTTGAGGGAAAAGCACTGTCGTGATATTAGCAATATTTTATTTATTACAGAAGCAATCGTCGATACATGATTTGTGCGTTTTTTTAAATTGTCTAAATCATTAGGAAGTTTAAGAGCACCGCCTTGTGGCCAAATGGATTCACAACGTCTGGCATGTTATGGTTATTTTAAAGATTACAGATGTAAATATAAAATGTTGTATTACAATGAGGATGTATTAGTTAATTTATTTACTAATTTAATATAACTACTAGCAACAGATTTAATACTGAATTTGTTCATCTTTGTTGACGTTAGAATGAAAATAAAGTTGTTCATTGTTAGTTCATGTTAAGTGAGTGCGTTAATTAATGTTAACAATCATGCATTAGGATTTTGATAATGCATCAGTAAAACTATGATTTATAAATGTTGTACAAGTATTATTAGTTAGTAAATACAATAATGAAATCGTATTGTAAAGTGTGAACAAGATTAAGTACTGAAAATGTATTTCATAATCTAAAGGGATTGCTGTAACTCAATTTTCTAAAAGTAAATTATAAGCATTCCCTTATTTTACATTGCATTATTTGAAGTTAGCAAATGCATGCTTTCACTTATTTCATTAATTCTTTTAAATTAGTTTTAGACACACAAAATTGTTTGAATAGCTCTGCTGCTAAACACCAGAAGAGCTAAATAACATCTACACTAGTGCAAATGTAAAAAAATTCTTAAATCAACATACTTTTACTCTAAAGGCAAACTTACATGAGCTGCAAAGTCTCATTTTCTGTGAAACTAATCAAAATGAAGCAGATTTATGTCTAAAACAAGACCAACAATCTGCCAAAGAGCTTAGAAAAATCCACTTTATTCAAACCTAAAAAGTCATTTCCACACCTCACTAGCATTTGTTCTTATTTTAAGCAGAAACTCACTCAGTTTTGATTTGTTTGCTAAGAAAACAAAATTTAACTTCTTCATTTTGTATCTAAAGTAAATGCTTCTTGGTTTAAGGATGCTTATGTCACTGTATTGAAAAACACAAATATTCTCGACAGGGTTTTTTTTTCTAGTGCAGGTGTCATTTTGCCATTACTTATTAAATTTTATACTTTCTGCTCAGATTTTCTAAAAATTCATTCATTCAGTCATTTTCGGCCTGAAGGGCATCCGCTGCGTAAAAACATGCTGGATAAGTTGTCGGTTCATTCCGCTGTGGCGACCCTGGATTAATAAAGGAACTAAGCCGAAAAGAAAATGAATGAATGAAAGATTCAGTCATTTTCCTTCGGCTTTTATTTTTCCTTTCTGCTCTGATTTAAAAGACCTTAAATTGTAAATCCTACAATGGACGATTAAGACCTTTTAAGACCGTTCTTAAAATACAGTTAACTTGCCTAAAGTTTAAATAACATAGCATAATTTAATCATATGAATTACCTGTATTCCCCCTTTTTAATGGGAATTCTGGCCTGTACAGCATCAGAGTTCTTGACTCTAATTATTATAATTATTCAAGGAAGTCCTAATTTTGACATTTTTCCCATTATTCATTCATTAATTTTCTTTTTGGCTTAGTCCCTTTATTAATCTGGGGTCACCACAGCGGAATGAACCACCAACTTATCCAGCAAGTTTTTATGCAGTGGCAGTCGCAACTCATCTCAGTGAAACATCCACACACACTCATTCACACTCATACACTACGGACAATTTAGCCTACCCAATTCACCTGTACTGCATGTCTTTGGACTGTGGGGGAAAACGGAGCATACGGAGGAAACCCACGCAAACGCAGGGAGAACATGCAAACTCCACACAGAAATGCCAACTGACCCAGCAGAGGCTTGAACCAGCGGCCTTCTTGCTGTGAGGCCACAGCACTACCTTCTACGCCACTGCATCACCATTTTTCCTATTATATTTACAAATAGTTTTTTTTACAAATTTAAATGTATTTATAAAATGTGACAGCTAAAACACCTAAAATAAATTATTATTTATTAATTTATTCATTTTCCTTTGGCGTAGTCCCTTTAATCATCGGGGATCGCCACAGCAGAATGAACCGCCAACTTATCTAGCAAATCCAGCAACTTATCACTGACAGTGACAGGAGGAAACTCACACAATTTTGTTTTGTTTTCTTAGAAAACAATATTTAACTTCTTCATTTTGCATTTAAATAAATATATCTTGATATAAGGATGTTTATGTCGTTGTATCGAAAAACACAAATATTCACGACAGGTTTTTTCTAGTGCAGGTGTCATTTTGCCACTACATATTGAATTTTACACTTTCTTCTCTTTGTTTTTTTTTTTATTCATTAATTAATTTTCCTTCAGCTTTTATTTTTTCCTTTCTGCTCTGATTTAAAAGACCTTAGATTGTAAGAGTGGATTAAGACTTTTTAAGACCGTTCCTAAAATGCAGATACCATGCCTAAAGTGAAAATAACACAGCATAATTTAATCATCAAAAAACACAAATATTTATGAAAGGGTTTTTTCTAATGCAGGTGTCATTTTGCTATTACTTGTTGAATTTTACACTTTCTGCTCTTTAAGTTTTTTTTTTATTATTCATTCTTTAATTTTCCTTCTGCTTTTATTTTTCCTTTCTGCTCTGATTAAAAATACCTTAAACTGTAATAGTGAATTTAAACTTTTTAAGACCTTTCTTAAAATGCAGATACCTTGCCTAACGTGTAAATAACACAGCATAATTTATTACCCGTTTTCCCCCTTTCAAATGGGAATTCTGACCTGTCCAGCCTCTTGTCCAGTTCTTGACTTGATCTAATTATTATAATCATTCAAGGATGCCCTAATTTTGACATTTTGTCTATTACATTTACAAATAAAAAATGTACAGATTTAAACATATTTACAAAGTCTTTCTCAGTCTTTTCTAGATCTGCTATTCTTGGATATTAAAAGACCAGGGTCACCTGAGTGTTCTGTTAGCATAGTGTAACACTGGCTCTTTATTTCACAGTTTAGTTCAGAAATACACAACACAGAAAAGCTACTTTTCTACAAAATCTATGATAGCATATAAGCATACTCTAAAAAATACAAAAATAGGAAATTATTATGTTTTACATTAAAGTGACAGGTACCTATCAGGCAGTGCTAAATCATGAAGCAGGTTTTTTTTTTTTTGGACAAAAGGCTTTTCTCCTTATTTCATGGCAGCTTGTGTTGAAAGTTTGCGAATGACATTCATATCATATGCCCATGTCTGGTCCAGCCCCTCACCCTCAGTGGCTGTCGGAGTCCAGTCTGGAAAGGGGAAGCGACAGGCGATGACTCGAGCCTCATCTGGTAACTCCTTCTCCAACTTTCTACCCAACACCTCCATCTGTAGACCACGAAACACACTGTATTTACATAGTAAATTAATGGCATGGCAAACAAGTTATTTTGTTGGATTTACATGGAATCTAAGTAATACCTAATTAAAGGTACCTAATTACAATTATATATACTTTGAATTTTGAAGGGGAAAAGTCAGAATCGTGCAATAAACTGCAAGAATTTTCCACAAAATCCCAATGATTAGGGAAAAAATCATCACACAAATAAATATACAAAAAAATAATACACCACTTTGCCGTTTTCAGTGACAACAAATGAAAAAATGTATTTGGAATTTGGAGGACATTTTAACAGACCTTTAAAGAATAAAACAAATATTAACATTTTCCTCAAACCCAAACCTAATAAATTAAGAAAATCTAGAGAGAAATTGAGAAACTGTGATGGTCTTTTATTTGTCCCCGCAGCTGTGTGTCTGGAACAGGTGATGTAACTCTTTGTACTGCTCTTTATATTTTTAATCCACTCCGTCTTTTTAATCAGCCGAGTATAAATCCAGAAAGGACACTTGTGGGTACTTACCACTCCGGGTGCCAAGAAAACAGTCACATTGTTATATTTGGACAAATCGGTCTGTGAAGGGAAATGATAAAACTGAATCATCAACACTTGGACATGTGCAATGAAGTACAGTTTGTACATGGTTCATGTCATTTCTCAATGGCTGTTTTTCCACACGGGTGTAAAACCTAGTGTTTTAAAGGACAGTGGCAAAGCACAAAGATTTTAAATGACAATTAATTAGTATTTAAGTGCTGCAGTATGATCCTAAAATAGACAGTCTTTAATAAGAGTATTTTAATGTCATCAAACTAGTAGTGTAAATATGCCTATATATATATATGCTATATAAACTATTGACATTTTCTGTAAATCAATATACAAATGTATTATGAATCTTAATTTTATTCTTAGAAACAAATATACAGTTAAAGTCAAAACTATTAGAACTCATGTTTTTTTTTTCTTTTTTAAATATTTCCTAAATAATGTTTATGAGAGCAAGACATTTTTCATTTAGTATTTCCTAAAAAAAATTTTCATCAGGAGAAAGTCTTATTTGTTTTATTTCGGCCTGAATAAAAGCAGTTTTAATTTTTTTTAAACCATGTTAAGGTGTTTATAATTAACCATCTTAAGCAATATTTGTCTACAAAACAAAACCATTGTTATACAATGACTTGCCTAATTACCCTAATTTGCCTGATTAACCTGGTTAAATCTTAAAATATAGTGTCTTGAAAAATATCTAGTAAAATAGTATGTATTGTCATCACGGCAAATATAAAATAAATCAGTTATTAGAAATAATTATTATTATTAAAACTATTATGTTTAGAAATGTGTTTTAAAAAAATCTCTCCATTTAACAGAAATTGGGTTAAGAAATTTAATTCAGGAGGGCTAATAATTCTGACTTCAACTGTGTATTTTAAATACATTTTAAATATTATATTTTCATTTGTTTACTGTAAGTGCAAACACTGGCACAACAACACAATAGTTACTACAACGTTTACATTGACTATTTAAAAAAAAAACATTTTCTTTGTAATTATATTGGGTGCAACATAGAAATCATAAATGCCATACCTTCCAAAAGTCCTGGTTTACAAAACTCGCAGTGCTGGATGGTATTCCCTTCCAATTTGATTTGACTCTGGCATATCCAGTCAGGATAGAATTGATTTCAAAGCCAGTGCAGTGGAAACCCTTTGCAGTGGCAGCAAATACCTACAAAACAAATCCAAACCTACACTTTGAGAAGTGGGGTCTGTGATATTAAAATCATAAAGAAGACATTGTTTGTTTTCCATACTGTAAAAGAAACCAAGAGGAATATTTTTCACTTGTTTTACACTCGATTAAGTGATGAAAAGATTTTTCCATCTAAATTTGAGTGTTAATGAGATCTATTTTTGAACACAAACAAGGCAGCCCCAGGTAGGATGCCCAGTGGCCATAATGACGGTGAGAAATCACCATAAAAATAATCCACAGTTTAGTCATTTCAGCTTAGAAAGCCAAGCCCCCAGAGTTTATGAACAACATCCAACAGCACAGTCATGCAAAATTATAAATAGCCTGTTCTCATGTCTGTTTTTTTATTATATTCTTATACAGTTCAGATAGTTTCAATCCCATCCAGCTGCAAAGCGTCTCACCATGCATTGCGGTGAGAAAGCAGTCGTCTCCAGAAAGCCATCAGAAGCGTCTGAAAAAGTTCTTAGAAGCACAAAATTTCATATGTAAATCTCACATAGCAACTGAGATTTACATCATTAGACGTGTTACTGTACATTATAAGGTTAGATGTACAATCAATAAATAAAGAATCCATTGGTATTATGCAAAATGATTGTACAGCTGAAGTCAACATTATTAGCCCTCCTGTGAATTTGTTTTCTTTTTTAAATATTTTCCAAATGATGTTTAACAGAGCATGGATTTTTTCACAGAATATCCTATCATATTTTTTCCTCTGGAGAAAGTCTTATTTGATTTATTTCGGCTAGAATTAAATTTAAAGACCACTTTAAGGCCAATATTATAAGCCCCCTAAAGCAATATTTTGCCTAATTAACCTAGTTAAGGCTTTAAATGGAGTTAACTTGTTAACAAAGGTTTGGCGGCAGAACCACGCCTCACTTTGTCACCTTAACCAATCACCTGCTCCCTAAAGCTTATTTAAGGCAGACCAGCCCTCTAGCACTGTTCTTCTCCTTCTTTCGAACCCGCTTTCCCTCCCTCTATTTCCTTGCTTCTCATTCACAATCCTATAACTCTCTCTTCGCTCCGAGGATGAATCGGTGGGGTCCAATGACTCTACCAATATACAACAGACGGTACCCTCACTTAGAGTCTCTGAGTATCATTGTGAGACGCTCGATCAACGTTCCTACCTGTTCACCGTTTATCCTCTTACTTCTTTTCCCTTCACCGCACTGTTCCATCCCCTTCATCCCTACATGCGTACAATAAAGTCTAGCTCAAAGTGTGGCGTGGTCCATGGTGGTGAAATTGTGCTTTAAGCTGAATACTAGTATCTTGAAACATATCTAGTAAAATATTATGTACTGTCTTCATGGCAAAGATGAAAGGAATCAGTTATTAAAAATGAGTTATTAAAACTATTATGTTTAGACATAAACAGAAATTGGAGGGGAATGTACAGGAAGGCTAATAATTCAGGAGGGCTAAAAATTCTGAATTCAACTATACATAAAGTATCTGAAATTTCATTCTGATTGATAGTAAACGTTAAACACTTACCAGTCGCCCATCACCAGACCCCAGATCCGCCAGACACCCTGCTCTCCCACGCAGGAGCTTCATTACATTCTGGGTCTGTGTTCTACTGGAGGGCAAATAAGGCACCTGGACAATATTAACTTCACTTACATCAGTGATCAATTGGACTATGGAGTATGAGTCTAAACAAACACAGCATCCAACATAATAAAGAGCAGGTTGTTGCCTTTTAAGATAAATCCACTATGACACTGAATGAATACAGTGCTTCCGGCAGTGCTCTATTATTAGAAAAGCTATATTTAGCTTCAGATATATCTTATATGACTTCCGGTACCTTGAGGCATATTGGTACTTTCCGGAAGCCAGGGAGTGCAAATAATGTCCAGAGCCCATAAACTCCCGCAAGAAACGCTCCAGATGCTGCTGTGACCAGTGGCTTTTCCTCTGTGTGACGAGAGAGCTCACAGCTCTTGTGCTGAAGGATGACCTCCACTGAATCTTCCATGATGGAGCACTGAAAGAAAAGAGCAAACAAGTAGGGGTGAGCGGGGAACAAACTAATTTTAGTTTGAATTTAACAATTTTTTTAAATTACATTAAAGGGCACCTATGATGAAAATCATATTTTGTAAGCTGTTTGGACAGAGCTGTGTGTAGTCTGCACAGTCATATTGGGGTGATATAAAGATAATAAGTCTCTTTTTTAATTTCCTGACGTTAAAATAGGATCCAAATCCCTCCCGTTTTGAAGCTCACCGCAACATGATGTAGGAGTGAGGTTTCCTCGCCCACCGAATTGATTGACAGTCACGCATTAACATGTCTCCATAGTAATAAGTATAATCATATGAACAAGACAGGACGTGTGCAAAGCACATATATCAGCTAAAGTGATTTTCTGATTATTTTTCTTCTCAGTTTTTAGGCAAGGCAAACTGTATTTATAGAGCACAATTTTACACAACCGTATAGTTGACTCAAAGTACTTTACAATAATACAAATTAAATAAAATATAAATGAGTATTCAGAATATAAGAGAATTATGAATGCTTACAACAGATATAAAATAACATGCATGCATTACTCAAAGGCAAGGGAGAAAAAATAAGCCTTAAACTAGATTTAAAAGCATCCAATGATTGAGAAATGTTCAGAGGGAGACTTTTAGTGTTTATTTAATAATCAGTCTGTCATTTAGCAGTAAATGGGTTACAACAGTGGTGTTCAAACTTGGTCCTGGAGGGCCGGTGTCCTGCAAAGTTTAGTTTCAACACCAATCAGACACACCTGAAGCAACTACAAAACTTCCAGGAAAGGGTGTTGAAGAAAGTTGGAACTAAACTATGCAGGACACCGGCCCTCCAGGACAAAGTTTGGACACCCCTGGGTTACAATGTGCACAGCTTTTATTAAAATTATATGCTTTTCTATGACATTTGTTCTCTTACTATATGTCCATGACATAACTTTTACTCTTTTGGGATAATTAAGGCACTAACAAACTACAGCAAAAATATAAGCAAAATAATTATTAAACGAAACCACTACACAAGTGCAAAGCTAATTTGCAATAAATAAATAAATACTCTGAACACCATGTGGAATCACGCAAACTAAGAAAGTCTCCTCTATAATAAGCGCGACTCAAACAAATAATAACAATAATTAATTGTAATATCTGATAAATAGTGGCATGCTGCCCACATTCTAAACTAAATACTTAACTCACTTTTCTTCTCCACATAAATGTAGGTTGCTGTTCAAGAAATAAACAGACTATTGAGTGGAGTTGTTCGGCCACTAGAGAGCGCTACGAACCAATTGTTTTAAAAGTAAACTTCGTCTAAAAGTTTATTTACCACAGTAAATTACTATGAAGCACAGTCATGCACATACTTTGTATATTTACAGTACGTAACATAAACCTATTAGTAGCTACTACCTCAGTGTGTATAAAACGTAACGTTAAAGCTTTACCCACAAACAAGAGAAACACGTTTACTGCACATTTCTAGAACAACCAAATCCAGCACAATTTACAAGCAACACATATACAAGGACAACATATTCGACAATTGACAGTGGGTTTACCTTTCGCGTGTCAACAAAAGTCTATTGTTTGTTTTTAGAACGAGGAATACGTGACATAAATAACACATGCGCATGCGACAGTGGGATGGGCACTAGTTGTAAGTTCTACTATGGAGAAGGCACAGCTCATTAGTATTAAATATAATTATAACACCCAGTGACGAGAGCCAGAGCAATAAATATGCTGACGTTAGTAGATACCACCCTTATAGTAAAGCACTGGCTTATGAATATTTAAAATTGTGTCGCAATAGTAAGATTCGATAAATATCAGTGTTGGTGGGCAAGGCAAATAGCACATAACATACACAGTGGTAATTCAAAGTGTTTTAAATAAACAAGAATAAAAGAAATATAAAATACATGTATAAGAAATAAAAGCAACAAAGAATAAAAAGAATTAAAAACAGATTCAATTTATTTAATGTGTATAGATTACAACAATATATTATATATACAATGTATTGATATAGGCCTATACAAAAATTAGATTTCCTTTTTATAGGTAAAATAAATAAATAAATAACTACACAAATTCCTGCATAAAAAAAACAATAAATAAAAACGCAAACAAATAAATAAATACATAAATTCCTGCATAAATAAAACAATAAATAAATATGCAAATAAATAAATAAATACCCACATTTATGCATAAATAAAACAATGAATGAATAAATGTACAAATAAATAAATAAATACACAAAGTCTTCCAGAAATAAAACAATAAATAAATATGCAAATAAATAAATACACAAATTCCTGCATAAATAAAACAATAAATAAATATGCAAATAAATAAATAAATACCCACATTTATGCATAAATAAAACAATAAATAAATAAATAAATAAATAAATAAATAGATAAAATAATACACAAATTCCTGCTAAAACAAAACAATAAATAAATACGCAAATAAATAAATAAATAAATACACAAATTCCTGCATAAATAAAACAATAAATAAATATGCAAGTAAATAAATAAATATCCGAATTCCTGCATAAATAAAACAATAAAAAAATAAAAAAATAAATACACAAATAAAATACACAAAAATACACAAAATACACTTGACGTTGGTTCGAACTTTTGCTTGGCTCGGCTCAGTTGGAGTTTCTGTGTGGAGTTTGCATGTTCTCCCTGCTTTCGCTTGGGTTCCCTCCGGGTGCTCCGGTTTCCCCCACAGTCCAAAGACATGCGGTACAGGTGAATTGGGTAAGCTACATTGTCTGTAGTGTATGAGTGTGTGTGGATGTTTCCCAGAGATGGTTTGCGGCTGGAAGGGCATCCACTGAGTAAAAACGTGCTGGATAAGTGGAAAAGAAAACAAATGAATGAATGATAAAACAATAAATACATAAATATGCGAATAAATAAATACATGTATATATAAATACACAAATTCCTGCATAAATAAATAAAACAATAAATAAAACAATAAATAAATAAATAAATGAATTTTAAAATCACAAATTCCTGCATTCCTGCAATGAATACATACACAAATATATAAATGTATATATAAATCTACAAATTCCTGCATAAATAAAACAATAAATAAATAAATATACAAATAAATGAATAATTGAGCGGTGTGAAGGGGGGGTCTACTTTCAGTTTAGCTTTTTCTTATTCCCCCAACATCTGTGTAATGTATTTAATTATTAATCTGGCCGCAATATTTATATGTTTATTTATGCAGGAATTTGTGGGATGGTGATATATATTTATTTATTTGCATTTCTTTATTTATTTCTTGATTTCTTTATTGTCTTATTTATGCAGATATTTGTGGTTTAATTAATTTATTTGCATATTTATTTATTTATTGTTGCTGGTTTCGTCCTCCATGGAGAAATGGTGAAGTAAATGCAATACATTTTGTGATCAGATCCAGTATTTTTTTTTATGATTTTATTTATTTATTTACTTTCAATTAATAATTTAATTATTGGTTATTGGTAGAAATAATACAATCATATACATAAAGGCATATAAAAAAACAAAATTAAAAACAGCAAAGACACATGCTTACAAACACCAGGGTATAACAAAAATAAAAATGCAATAAAGTTACATCTTAAAGAGACACAATGGAAGAATATAACGAGTTTTCATTGCTTTGGATTAATGGATAGTTCTGGATAGTTTCCAAATATTGGTCTACGTCAATTCTGAATCCAATTTTATGAAGTGAGAGAGCGGCGCTGCTGCCCCCTGCTGCCAACAGTGCACAGCTACACTTTGGGCGGATGTGGGATGAATGGGTGGAGAGAGAGAGCGACGGTCTGCTGACGTCCATTGCGAGCATCATCGCATCCAACATTTATCCCAGCAGCCGACTCCACCTCTCCAAAACGGGGGGAAAACTATCATTTATTAGGACGAAATCAGAATCAACCGGCCTTTATTTCATTGCTTTTGTTTATTTATTGTCTAAAGCAAATGGAGTTATACGGGAAGGTAAGTGAGAAACGGCGTTGTATCCAGGCTATAATGTTGTTTGGTCGTAATGGAGAGCCACGCAAAAGAAATAAATGGCTAATTTTGTCATGTTGTAGAAAAAAAAGACATTTGTTGTTTAGGATTTGCGATTTGACAGTGCGCATGATACTGACAGCTCATTAAAGATGTATTAAAATGATAAACGCAACATCAGTGAAGAGAAAAGCAATCAGCCGTAACAGCTAATTTATTCACATGAGCTGCTAATTTGGGCTTTTTGTACTCTATATGAGTGCTACAGCTGGCTATATGCTCTCATTTACAGCTCTAATATCTCTTTGTCTACATATCATCATTTATTATGCATTCTATATTTGAAGGCTATTAGCTTATAATATCCAGGGCTTGGTTAAAAAGAGACTGACCCCTTTAAAAGCGCTCAGATTGGAATGAAACAGGCTGCGTCTTAAAACCTAGTGAGCTGCCTATCTAGTCAGCATTCATTTTGGACGAGTTTCGAGTTTACACTGCATTTTCCCCCATCTAAGTGTGCAACTAAAGCTCTAACGTTTCAGTTCTCGTCACGATTTAATTAGTTTAACCCAATAGGAAGTTGTAAACAACAAAGCAATATCATTTATATTTTAAGAAATGTATTTATTTACTATATTTAGCTCTTTTTACAGATTTTACTTTTTTAAAAACAATATCAGACATTTTCCCAGTACAGGCATCTGCTTTGTGAAACATATGCTGGAGTAGTTGGCGGTTCATTCCGCTGTGGTGACCCCTAATAAATAAGGCACTAGCCCGAAGGAAAATGAATGAATATCAGACATAATCTTTGATTTTTATCACTGGTCATGCCTTTGTTTACACCAGCCATGTTTAAAAAATATCTAAACATTGTTGAGACAAGCAGACTCAATAGTGAGCTGCCTATATAGACAATATTTTGTGGGCTTTCATGTTTGCATGTACTTGCTGAACTAATTGCATTTTGGAAAGATGGTATCAACATGGGTTAAATCAAATAAAACTCTCACTGGATTTCAAAACATGGACAGCTCCTGGTGCTGATTTGTTTGTTGATTTTGCTAATTGTATGAAGTGTTATGTTAGCCTTAAAGGGATAGATCACTCAACAATGAAATTTCCTGACTATTTACACTGTATAAAATGCTGAGCTGCACACAATTCCTTTATGCTGTCCCAACACATATCGATGAAGTTAACTTAATCTGTTCTTAGAAATTTAGGTGGTTTGATCGTTAAACAATTAAGTTGTCCCCCCAAAACCTTAAGAATTGTGTTGATTCAACTCATTTTAAAATAAGCAGCAAAAATCCTTTTAAGTGTACTCAAGTGGTTCTGTACTATTCTTTTTCCAACAATCTTCAGAAAATCTTCATATGTGTTCAACAGAAGAATCAAATCTTGATGTTCCGCTGATGACGGCAGTTCTTTGCCAAAACAAGTACACTAAAAATCTTTTTGCTGCTTGCTCAAACTACTTGTTTAAATTAAGTTGAATCAACACAATTCTTTTTTTTTTTTTTTTTTACAAATCTGTCTACTTAGATTTGTAAAAACAATTAAGTTAACTTAATCCATTTGTGTTGGGACAACATGAAGGAATTGTGTGGAACATAGCATTTTTTACATTAATTCATTTTCCTTTCGGCTTAGTCCCTTTATTAATCTGGGGTCGCCACAGCAGAATGAACCGCCAACTTATCCGGCATACGTTTGACACACAGATGCCCATCCAGCTGCAAGCCATCTCTGGGAAACATCCATACACACTCATTCACACACATACACTACGGTCAATTTAGCTACTTAATTTACCTATAGCACAAACTCCACACAGAAATGCCAACTGACCCAGCCAAGGCTCGACCTAGTGACCTTCTGGCTGTGAGGCGATCGTGCTTCACACCGCGACACGAGAACCACATTATTTAGTGTTCTTTGAGGATTAGCCATGTCAATAAAGGCTTTTTGATATTTTTTAATATGTAGTGTTATAAATAAGCAGCAGAAGTCATTTATTTAAGTGTACTCAAGTGTTTCTATGCATTCCACACTATTCTTATTCCAGCAATTATCAGAAAATCTTCCTGTGTTTAACAGAAGAACCAATGGAATCTTGATGTTACCCTGATGAAGGCAGTTCTTTGCCGAATCGCTAGGTTTTTTAAGGATTAGCCATGTCAATAAAGGCTTTTAAATATTTTTTACACATTTTTCGAGTACCTTGGACCGATTTTTGCTGTTTATTCTGATAAATCCCTTACCTAAGGAGCACTGACACATGATTTAAGCTACCCTGGAGCACTTTTGGTTTGATTTTAAAATATTATGAACAAGCAGCAAAAGTAATTGTTTTAGAATACTCATGTGTTTCTTTACATTTACACTCTTTTTTTTTTAACAATCTTCAGAAAATCTTCTTACTGTATATGTTGAACAGAAGAATCGAATCTTGATGTTACCCTGAAGGCCGTGTTTCGAGTGCCTTGGACTGATTTTTGCTGTTTATTCTGATGAACCCTTTACCTAAAGAGCACTAACAGATTATTTAGGCTACCCCTGAGCACTTTTGGTTTTATTTTG